TTCAATGTTGCCGGTAACTTGAATTTTATGGGCGATTCTGGATCTGAGGATCAAATTGTCTCGCATGGTGCATGCGGAGAGCCAATTTTCGACGAGGTAGGGTTCACACTCTTGAAAATTTACATGCAAATCGCTTAAGATCAACCTGTGTGCTTCTCACTTGCAGTACGCGTATGTACGTCAGTGTAATATGCGTCTTTTACAACAGCTATCAGAGGTCAATGAGGAGTTATGGTGGCCGGAGAGACTGAAGTGTACAAAGACTACTTACAAGATTGACTTGCTTGGTCGGCGTTATAAGGAGGCTACTAGTGCTTTACCTTATCGCATAGCTGTGCATTACACTGGAAAAGATGCTTACGCTGTATGTCTTTCATATTTCTCAAAATAAATGAATGATCAAAATAACAATGCTTTTGCAGGTATGGGAACAAGACTTGGTGAAATATTCCAACCAGTACAGTTCTCATTTCAAAGTTTTTTTTACCTTCTTGTTCACGAATTTTCTTGTTGAAATACTCTAGGCATCCAAATCTTGTTCATCTATATGGATTTAATAGACAGAAGTCAAATCCATCTTTGATTTTCTGTGATGGTCGGTGGTATTTATATGAATACTGGGGTGGTATTAGTTGACTTTTCCTAACATTGTAGATGTTATTCCATTCATGCAAGTCTGGGAAGATTGCTCCCCAATTGTCAAGTGGTGTATTGACTACAGTTATGTATGTCATTTCCTCCCTGCAACACCAGCCTTTTAGATCTCATGTTAGATTCCCTTAACAGTTCGACGCTGCATATAAGGTTAAAAGAGACATGATTGGACATGAAAATCTTGTTGAGTTTTTTTTGCTGATAAATTGTGTTCATTGTCTGATACTAATAGTTTTCATAGCAAAATGCTGTATTCATCCGATGTGATACGGGAGAGATTTGTTTTGGTTCACAACAATCATCCAAACCGATTCCATCAAGACTTTATGATTATGGATTTTTCAGTGAGATTCCAGGCATATCATTGCCATTCAGCTTGTATCGTGATGAAGCTGGTCTTGAGAAATATTTATTGGGGATGATGGGACAGAAGAACCCTCAGGCTCCAGTATTGGATCCATCATCTGTGCTGATGCCTGTGAACACACCACTTTGTAGCAATTTCATTGATGTTGCATACACTGGGGTTGTACCTCTTCCCTCAGTCCTACAGATGGATTTCTATAAGCGCGAGCCAAAGCTTATTGGGTCATTCAAAAATATGCATCAGTCAAATTCATATACATTGGAGCCCTGGAAATGTGATGATTTTTATTCTCCTGTTGGATATTTACTTGGAACTGGGTGGACTCGGTGGGTCAATAAATAATATGGAAGACGATCAACTCACTTCTAAACACCAAGACTATGCTTTAGGTTTCACTGTGAGAATTACATTGGAAAGAAATTTCAGCTTCGTGTCCTTTGTGCTCGCGATGCCGTACAAAGAATATACAATGCTTGGCTTCATCAGAAAGAGTATTTTCCCAATGCAATTGGGGAAGATGCATTTGATATATTTGGTATTGGTAGATTTCGTAAACAGATTTCATTCCCAAAAAAGATTGGTTCTGATTTGGTAAAACACAGATCTTATTACCGAATTAACTTTTCACCTCAAAAATGAAATTGACATCCGGAGAGTCGCACGTCCAGTAGTCATGCCAAAGGATGTTTTTCTATTTATCGCACCAGTGGCACTCAATAAGTGTCCTGAAAGTGGCTCAGTTGAAGTAAGATGGTTGGCAAATGGAAGAGATCATTATTTCTGGTCCTTTGACCCATCCGGGTCTGTCCCGTTATCAAGGAGAGTCTGCAATATTTTGGGACTTCCGAGCTACAAGACAAGTATTAGTCTTAGGACCCCCATTTCTTATGATTATCACTCTGAAGCCGTCAAGTATTTACAAGAGATTCAAGGGTTTGACCCCTTGACACAAGATTACGCTCGAGCCCGTGGGCTCCCACTACTTGAAATTCTCTCCCCATCGGAACGTTTCCATCTGAATGGTATGTGTAACACACTATTTGACTGAGGGAAGAATTTTCTAATTATTGAATGATTTAATAGTAGTCGCTCTGACTGAAGAAAATCAAGAAGCATTGGACGTGTGGTCCGATGCCAAAGAAACACTGAGCAACGTGTCGGAGTCAGTGTACGGAGATGCTAGTTCACAACTTCAAAGTAAGTCCTCGAAAGCTTAATTTTCTTCGATGTATTAATGGTGTGTTTAGCGATTCTATTTCCGATCCCTAGTGCTGAGCGAAAATTGAATTGGACTACTCCAAACCTGGGTAATTTCGAGGGAGACTTCCCTTTTCATGAAGAGTCGGATGATTCAGCTTTGCAGGCCCTTGGGTTAAATCTGTCTTTGGGATCAGCCTTAATTGCAGGCTGCAAACCAAGCTCATGGCTATGTGCATATCTTATTCAAGGAGACGTCAAATCATGGACGGGTGAGAGGGATCGATATCGATCGAAATTTTGTTGGAGGTTTGATTCCAACGTCTCAAACACTGGTGACCAAGGAATATACACCTTTCGTCAGATTTGTCCCAAATGCCTCCATATGGGTCGGCATCAACAAAAAATAGGAGGGCGGTATCTGGATCTATGGTGTAGTAAGTGCAAACAGGGGTTCTGGCACTGGCAGGACTCCTACTACATACAACTTAGAAAACGTCGTGCTTCCATCTAGACACTTAATCTGGTTAGTAACACTATGTACTGTAGTAGGTCAATATCAATTTGACCAAGTATAGCAGTAACTTCTTCCAACATTTATTCCCTTCATCACAGGGTACTGTATGGCTTATCCGGACTGAACATTCTCTTTAGAGTGATCCCAGAGAGCTCCAGGTTTTTTCTGAGAATTTTTAATCAAGTATTCATAGAGAAGATCCCAGTACAATGATATTAGCCTATTCATCACTATCCAGGAAGCACACCAAGATATTCTGTGTGTTTGTGCCCCTACAGTATAATAAGAACAATATAGGTACTTTAGATTATATTCGAGTTATTTCAAGTTTTTGCCAAGATTAGGTAGTGAGTATGCATTCAATCTGATACCTTGTAACTTGTCTTCCATGATACCGGGTGGAGGGACATGACAGCACAGCATTTGCATGCTGCCCATGCTGCTTGACATCCATTCAATCCACGAGCATATGCATTCATGAATCAATGTCAATAGTGGAAGTGTGAGCACGAAAGACAGAGCCCTCGAGAATTTGCAGCGGAAATTACTATATATAGTCCGTCACGCTTTGCCACGTGGGGTTAGTTGGGTAGTTAGTTAGTTAGTTAGTTAGATACACAGCAAAGGTCCCCCTAGGGAACTGCTGGAAAATCATGTGTGTCGTCTACCTTATCTTCGGAAAAATAATTTTGGGCCACTCCGGGCAGCATAGTTCTCCGATCATTCGAGGTTCGGTAATTATAACGGAAAGATAGGCCAGATCGGGAAACAAGACTCGAAGTTCTTTCAATCAAGAATGAGTAGGTAGGAATGGGATCCTCCATTACCATATCTAGTGTGTACATTGCGTTTATTGAATACTTTATAGCTATGATCCATTTATAATTATTCAGAGAAACTGAAAGAGGAGAAAGGTTAACGCCGATTCAAGATGTTCCGTCACATTGAGGAGTCCAGAAAGGAACAGAAAGAAGAGGAGTTGGATATAGGGGGAAGCTGGTGATGAGCTGTTGCAGATGCCGACGAATGGAATGAATAATGATTGTCCGGCTGGTGTTAACTGCAGTTGAAGGTGGAACACCAAGTTGGAAGAAGCGAGAATATTAATACTGGTAAAGTTAGAAGAAACATCATGGATCCGGACAGAGATAGTGTCAGTGATCCGCCAGCTCACGGGCAAGCAGGTGACAGAAAGAAAAAGAGAGTTCAGAGACGGGAGGGGTAGTGTCAGGATTTAGCCGAGCTTTCGCTGATTGAAAACGTTTTCTGACGCTTATAGTTTCTATTGAGTTATGGACACATTGTGAAATCATCCAAGACGTGAAGCAATTCTTGCGTAGGATTCAGAATTGTTCAAGGCAAATAGATAGCTTCTGGTCACTCTATTCGAGTGCGCTTCCGTAGCGATTTGCGCCTGAAACTTGCACTGATTCGCATATACTCTGAAACAAAGTAGCGGCCTTGAAAATACACGCTTGAAGATTTTGGTACTATTGGCATACAGGCCTCACTAGGATTCGAAGGGGGTTTCCAGTTCAAACACACCAGGGCCATGAAGAATGTCAACCTCATCTGTCCACATCTTCGCCCAGCCTTCGAGTGAGTCAGGTAATATGGTGTTATTAATCGCCCTCTGTAGAGCCTGCAGGTCACTAACAGGACCTTCTCCAATGGGTACGACAATCACTTTGTGATGTCCGTCAAGAGTTCGACCTTTATAAAGGCGGGGACGATTATCAATGCACTCTATAATCTTCTGGACGAGGTCATCTATTCGACCATCATGCAGAGTGTCAAGTTCGAGGGCAACCATGATCTTCTCGAGTCCGATGCCATAGCCCATTGTATAGTAAGACACCTGGAGAGATCGCTGTGAGATATTCTACATACATCAATAATGCGCCGAGACAAACCATTTCTGGATGGAGAGACACTAGAGGACTTTGAAGATGAAGTCTCAAATAACCTAAAAGTATATGCGATGATGGTGGTGTTCGGCCAAGAGCGATTTGTGTTGTTTGGTCATGGTTATTCACGGCTATTTTGGACCCATGATCAGACTCCGACATAGTGGTGAAGCATGGCAAACACTCGGCGAGGGTGGAATATTGATGACGGGGTAGACGGCGGTCGCAGAAGTAGTCTTTCTATTTTTGGATTGGGATGGACCTTCTTGCTACGCGCCAAGGGAACAGAACGGTGATATCAACAAAGAAACACCCACTTTCAAGTTAGACTCAAAAGCGAGCTTGTATCGGAAACCATCGACGCCAGCAGGATTCGAACCTGCGCCTTCAAAGAGGAACAGATTTTGGACCTGACATTTGTTCATTCTAATGTGTCGCCGTAATCATTTGGCTTTAGCGTCGATATCGGTTCAAGATTATGAATAGGCAAACGCGCCCCAGGGCAGGCGTCCCCAGGGCCGGGATGGATTACAAACGGGCATGCGAGCAACCGCTATGGAGCCTATGGAAGTATTGATTGATAAAATCAATAAAAGATGATAAAAGATGATGACGGGAGCATGCCGTTGATGAGAGTCGGAGAAGTTATTGGAGTAGAAGGGCGGTTAGAAAAGTGGGATTCTTGCGGATGTAGATGTGGAAAGTCTCGGAGGCCCAACGACCAGTGGCACGAATAAGGTGAAGAGGGACACCAATTTCTGCTAAGCCAGTAGAACCGCCAGAACGGATCGACTGACCTGCGATGTCATGCCAGTTATATAAGCTCTTCAGCCTATCCATGAATCAAGACCAGGTGGGCATAGAACCATCTGCCCGCAGCCAAAGCTGCCAATGGGTGGGAAAACGGCTATCGCGAGATTTGATGTAGTCAAGAAAAGGATTATATGGATCGATGTTGGTGGGGAAACGAGTATGACGACGAATGACCACTTTATTTCCTTCAAAGAAAGGGTCCGCTTTGTGTTGAGGCAAGTCGAAGCCATATCCTTGCAAATACCACTTCACCGAATCACGTCTGGTCCGTTTCCGTAAGTTTTGGTGTTTCCTGACATCAGGAAGGCAGAGCTCCGCAAGGCGAAGTAAACCAAACCCCCCGTCAGCAGCAAAGCAAGAAAAAGAGCTCAGATGCAAGGCAATCACGAGCTGACAATGAGAGACAATGAGCCGTTGGTTGACCCGATCTCAATTTTTTCGATCAATTCCGTATAATTATGAAAATAGCTGTAACCGATATAATGAACAAAAAGTTTTTGTAGTCGTTTGCCTCCAATACTTATCCTCCTAGTCCCACAACTTATATTCCCTGAGTTTGGTATAGTCTTTATGGTTCTGTGTACTCAAAATGCTGGTACAACGCCACAAGCAAAAGATATAACAACTCTGGTTTTCGGCCATAATGCCGTGATAACATTGTAATAACCGGCCAGTAGAGAAGTACAAATCGTTATTACAGTGGTTCAGAAAGTGATAACGGCGGGATGGCCAGAGAATTCATGGAGCAAAATAATACTATAGAAACTATATCTCTGCTGCATATCTTTGGAAAGAGAAAGAGGGACATATGAACTACAAGGACGAAATACAAAGAGAATTGGTGAGAAAACCGTTATAACGGCATGCCGTTATTTAAGCCGTTTAAAAGTTCCGACAGTGCTCAGCGCTCCGGTCTCAGTCTGTCTTGCGTTCGAGCCTTGCCCGGATCACTATCTCATCCATTCTTCTTCCATAGTCCAGCCGGGATAGAGAATGTATGTACCACACGCACTTTGTGCACTTTTCCAATCTTTCTATGCGAAGGAACGGCATCAAAGAGTATGTTTTTTTGCGCAAATATCCCGACGGATGCAGTGACTGCCACATGTTCCGCACATGTTATACCTCGGTTCTGCGCCTCGTTCTGTGAAAAACAATAAGCCAAGCGACTATCTGCTCAGGAGTAGGGTACACATTTGGTTTGTACTTCAATATTTTCAGAAAGTTGATTGTCAATTTGTCCACTAGAACATGTTTTTATAGTTCAATTGATAAGAGGAAAATCATACTCGGTCACCGCTGATGATTACCTAGATGATATATGTATTCAACAAAGAGACAGCAACTAAGAAGTTCTAATGACTGGTGTCGCCGACGCCAGTGGGATTTGAGCTTGTGCCCTCAGAACATTTTCCAAGGCAGGCAGGCAGGCAGGTATGTAGATAGGCAGTACAGAGGTAGGTAGGGAGGTAGGCTGGCATCCTCTAAGACAGCCATGGTACTGATTTCTCATGACCTTGCCTCTTGTGTGCACACAACTATTATACAGTATCTCTTTCTTGAACCATCTCTATCTATGGGTGTTTTTGTAATGCTCATTATGAAAATAGAACTTGGATCCAATGGGGATCCATTTACACTCCTGTACACAACAAGAAACTCCAGATCAGGCTCAGAATCTATGAAGCCTTTAAGCAGGGAACTTGGGAGCTCATTGTTTTGATGTGCTATGTTAGAATGAGCCAGAGCTCATATTGTTTCTGGTATTTAAATTCCATATATTTTATTGAACCGAATCAAACTATTTCATCTAGATTTGTAATGACATGCATACACAACAAATATTACAGCTACTGTGTTTTTTCCTTTATTTTCATGTTCTATAAAATAGATGAACCATAAAATTCAAGTTTATGAGTTTCAGAAATATGAAGAGATACTACAACCTAGAGTATATTAGCCATTTATATGCTCAGAAAACTACAATTTCAAAATGCAACATGCTGGGATTTATTGTGATTTAGGAGCTAAGTATGCATATTTCTTGACTTAAATTTCAGCATCTTAAAATTAGTCCCTTACCTACTAAGCAGTGATTAAGCAGTGATGAATATCTAACAGAATAACAGACCTTTCTAAGCTTGTCCACGAAATTTTTCTTGCAAAAACAGTTCAAAGTCTAATACTATCTCAGACTAAAAGGCCATTTGCGTAAATTCTGATGCTTATGATTTATACACTCCTAGAGTTATGCTCTCCCTGAATGAAATGGGCAAAAAAAAATAGAGGGCCTCGTACCTTGCCATGCAAAGCAATGGCACCTTTCCCCAGTTAATATTTATCAATGGACGCACCGTGGACGCACCTTGGACGCAAAAATCTGGGGTCCGACAGGAAGTGTAGTTGTGGATAATAGATTTCCAGAACATGATTGATTCGACAAGCATACCGTGTAATAATTGTAAATGGGGAGGGCATTGTGGAGAGAAGAACGATTTCCGATACATAGCAAATGGAAAACACTAAAATGTTCCGAATCGTCTAGTTTCATTAGGCCCTCGAGGACCTCCAAACAAATCAGAATGTGCATGTAAATGCTGATTCAATAGATAGGAACTCACCGGTAATCATAGTATCGTTACCGTGACACAAATTGGAGGGAATGAGAAGCAAACTGAACACCATTATTTCTGTGGATGATCAGTGTCCTGTACGGCTGAATTGAAAATGAACTATTTTCCTTGAACTGCGCTCTTGAACCATTTCCATGATAGGAGTCTCGGATCTCTTTGAGTGTCTTCTCGTCAAGAGTTTCATTAGGTTTAAAGGCATGAAGCCATGGTTTTCCACTTGCGTTGATTCCAATAGCAACACACAGTCCGGAGTAAATGAGTAGACGAGAGGCATCAGAGCCTTCTCTAGTCATGGAGAGGTACGTCTCTTCACCAGTCGATGTATTCTCTAAGCCACGGTCCGAGTAGTCTGGAGGGAAGACGTCTTTGAGGGTATATCCACATTTCCTTGGCAGTTGAATGAATCGTGACTGGGAACGTGTCATTGTCGGTATTATGGAGGTCAAGGTGGAGCCATCGACTGTTGTGTAATCAATGTCAAGTATCCTCGAGTCGCCTGTAAAAAACGTCCAGCCAGTGATCTGCAAAGCGGCAGTAACAAAGCCACCAGATTCCAGCTTCATTTTTAACCTGTCTGCACAAGATCCACCCTTTGCAGTAGCGCCCAAAGAAGACTGTATGCTGAGCATTCCTCTACCTCTTTCTAGCGGGGCAAACGAAATTTTAACGTTTTCTTTACCGTGACGACAGCGGAAGCTAACAGTAAATGGGTCTAAAAACAAAAGCAAAAAATACTTTGTGACGTCTGATCTGTGAGTCTGGGTAAAGGTCACACGCTCAAAGCGTTCATGGGCTGAGCAAGACATGTAGACTCTCATGTAGAGATCTTCGTCATCGGTCTTTCTAGCCCTACGGGGTGGTACGGGCTCTCTGACAGTCACTTCCTGGATGTGCCCTAGTCTATCAACAGGAGAGTGTAAAGTCAGTTTGTGAGGATGACAGCGCACGTAATGCTTGTTCTCTTTTCGAAGATAGATGCTGCACACCTTCCCATTCACTCGACAATCCAAAGATGCTCGGACCATGTTGGCATCATTGGTGGTGAAAGTTGGAAAGTGGATATGCAGGCCATTGTTGTTGAATGAGAAGGATGACTCGTCACTAGCCAGATCCGTATTAGAGGTGCCCACTCCGCCAGATCCTTTAAAATCATCAGGAGACCGTGCAAACAGTCCTCTGGGTTCTTTTTCAACTTCTCGCCCATAATTATCCCTCTCGTAATCGGTAGCCCAAGCAAAAATGCTACGGTCATCAGATATCTTTATGATCTCCTGCTGAAGCCGCATAAATGCCTTGGTCCCACCCTCTCCGTAAATCGGCGGCATGCAGATATCAAAGAGTCCCATGAGCGAATAAGCTCTGTCCTCGGCTCGGGTTGTCTCCCTGAATGCTGCCCAGGACATTCTCTGAGCTATGCTATATTTCGTGACATCTCGATCCTTGTCCTCGAAGAGCTCGACTGGAATGGAGGTGATGGCTGAGATTGCATTGCGCAAGCTATTTCTGGAGCCAATATCCCTCCATGAACCATCCACAAAAGCAATATGTGAAGGCGCAATAAGCTCCTGCAGGGTCCAACCTCTCGTGAACCACTTGCTTCTCCTGAAGCCTGACTTGGCATCTCTGGGATCCTCCTCACTTGATGCATCGGGTAAATACACGTAGCAGACAGCAGCATCCGCATAGAACTGGTACATTGAGTTGAGATTTTCGGAAAGGTCAGCGCTGCTCGATTTATCAATGCAGCATGAATCGATCCAAATCCATTCGAAGCGATACTTCCGCGCGTGGGCACAAGCACCTATGACCTTTTTCCAGCCAGCGTTGAGATCACGTTTGGAGACATCTAGGTCCTGAAGGTCGTCAATTGTGATTTGGACTCCATTGGTGCCCCGAGAAATCATGGTCGCAATCCATTTCAAATTATCTTCAGGATCAGTAGAATCTCTGTTGATCTCTGACCATCCGTGCTTGTCTTTGGCAGCCTCAAGGTTCTGAACGTCATGGAACGCGAC